AGACAGACAATATTATGGAAAATTGAATTATATCTTGCTATATAAAATACAATAGAACAGTATCTCTCAGCTTTTCTCAACTATTTTTATTGATGACAGAACTACTATTGTAACTAACACGGAAGTAACTAACTCTCCTTTCATATTATGGGGAATTACTCTTCTAACTAACATGGAGGCAATGCAGAAAATTTGAAATTATTATCTACGTAGCGTTTCTGTATTTGTTTTTTTTTTTTTTTTACATTAAATGATATTTCAAAGCTGAATTCAGGTAGCCAGTACAGTAAGACTCCAAAAACGTCTTTTAATTTGTCCATAGGAGACACAGGAGACTTCTTGTGGGAAGTTAAATATCTACAGAATGTGTTAAAAGGGCTCTAGATTCAGTTTGACTGAGTTAAACGATTTCCGTTGGAGTGTGTATGCAGTTTCTCCCTTGCCGTTACCTGTTTCTCTTTGAGTTTGATAATCTTCCACTTGTTTTAAGATAAGCATTTTATCATTTCATGCAAAATATAGATACAATTTCCCTCATTATTACTTTTTTTTTGATAGAACATGAGTAATAATTTAGACTAAAACTCTTTCAATAGAGAATCTTTGTACCATGAACCTATGCAGTATGTATTGAAAGGTAAAATACAGCAGACTAAAAAGAGAATAGTTTCTTGCTGGGAAACTCGTAGGGACTAAATGCAACAGCAGATTTGAGCTTTGAATCATAAGCACCATAAACAAAGTTACTATATTAAAAACTCCATCTAATCAAGGCTAGAAAACACTAGTGAGCATTATTTGCTCCATAGTGAAGATTAAAACTAACATCCCATTATTAATCAAAAGACAAATATGCTAAAAGCAAGAAACCAAAAACTGTGAAATGTACAAGCTTCATCTTGGATGTTGGAAGGAAAAAAGAGATCTTGAAAGAAGGTTGAAAGAAATCTTGGAAGAAAAAACAGAAAGGAAGGTCAAACCAGATAATAATGTTTCTGCTTTTCTCTTTCCATTAACCTAGAAAATAGATGTTAAATAGCTGCTGTAGAATGGAAAACAAATCTTAAAAGGAACTGTTATTTTACCAGAAAATCCTTACAAAAGCCCCTGTTTGTCCTTACCAAACCAACAATTCCAGAGTTTCTTTTACTATACCTCATTTTAATGCCTTAGATAAAGACATTAAATGAGCACATAAACAGTTAGATTTAATATTTACAGGAGATCAAATCTAATTTTCAGATAATCATATCAAAGACATATAGTATTATGTAATCAATTGTGTGAAATGAGATGGAAAATTAAGTTCTTTATGTATCTTAAACACTACCTTCTAAAAGTCAGGTTTGCCTTATAGATTACCAGATTACTTTAAATACGATTACTTAAGAAAGGCAAATAACATCCTTATTGTCAAACTTCTATACCTTAAGTTCTGTCAACTGTCTTGCTTTTTTCATCTAACATGCAGATTAGCCACGAAGCTTATTTTTGCTATTTAGAGCCTAGACTCTTTTTCTGGATTTTCATTATCTCAGCACACTCTCACTACGAGCTGCTTTATTAGAACAGATTTTCTGCTGGACAAATGAACTACGATACTGCCATTAGTTTCCTCCTATCTTGTGCATTGGTTACACATATTGATAAAACAACAATTATAAACTATATATTGTTTCTTTTTCACCTAGGGAGCTGGCAGTATACATAAGTACATGGAAGTTTCACGAAAAAGAAATTTTACTGATTATAATACAGTTGGTTTTGTTGTGTGATCATCTTTTATAGTAATAGATTATTTTTTATTAGTTGGCCTGTATCTTAAAAATTCAGAGGCTGGGTTCTCACAACTTACAAACCACTAGTACAGAAATTCATAATAATTATTATGAGATTTCTTCTTAAAATCCATAGCTGCAGCATTATTGTCAGATGTGGACAAGTTTTGCCAAGAATTTGAGCTTTAATCAGCATTTTTTGTGGGTGGATGTGAAAAACAAAAGAATTCTGTGGGTGTAAACAGAAAAATCACATTTTTCTCTGAACAGCTGTATAATAGCCACTTTTAAAAGCTAAATAGTAAACACAGAAGGAAAGGGTTTCACACTATAGAATGTAAGGGAAAATATTTCTGGCTTCCATATTGTGGGAGTTATTATAGAGCAAAAAATGTTAAGTAAAAATTGGCTGTATGCTTGGACAACTGACACTTCAAGAAATGAGTTAGAATTCAGAATCCTTTTCAGAAGCATGCCAGTTGCCAACCAGTTATGGCTTTGGAACTAACTGAGAATTGAGGAGTACAGACAAATGCTTTATGATCTACAGATTGTCCTATCTATAGTTTGTAGGGATTTTTTTTTCATAATAAAGCTTTTGCGTCATATGTAAAAATCAGACTTGTTTTTTAACCCAGAAATAATATACACCTTAAAGTTAATATTTCACTGCTATGTATATGTAATTAATAACTGTAAGATAGAGTTGGTAGCTAAAGATCATATCTTTTACTGACCAGTTATTATCACTGAAAAACATCAACAAGCTTTGAACACGTAAGCTTTATACGTGAAACAGAAGAAGCATATTTAAAGGACAAAGAATAGCTGAGAAAAATTGCTCAGAGTATCAGAAATATCACATCTTTGAGAAGAAAGATAACTGGTAGCTCCAGTTAGAGGAGATATTGGTGAAAAGTGGGAGAAAGTAAATGACTGACTCTACTATATGTGTTTTGAGCAAAATGTTTGCAAATCCTTATTCAGTAGTCTAACAGGGACGTGTATTGTGTATCCATCAAGGCTATTTTTCCATGGAAATGTAATTTTGAAACAGTTGTCAAAAACACATGTAAAGAAAAAAAAAAAGACATAATCTGGTAAAGATGTTTTTCCTTGTGTAACACACCCCTCTCAGTTTAAAAAAAGCCCACACATTGCTAATTTTATCTTTGTTTTTCACATCTAAAGCTTTCCCCAGATACAAGTGTTGTAGGTTTTGTTTTCAGTTTTCTGAAACTAGAACATTCCATAACAAGAAATTCAATCTAATAATCTTATAAACTGCAAATTAAAAGTTAAAAAGAAAACTATTGAAGGACATCTTATCGTCCTATTGACAGAACACAGGTGAAAATTGCTTCTTCTTGATCTTGATTTTTTTGCCATTTCCTGATACAGGTTTCTTGTTGTAATGAACAATTTGGCCTCTGACTTAGGCTTGTCACCAGAAGTTTGAAGTTGCTATGTTGCGGTCTTCTGTTCTCAGTGACTTTGGGGTCAGACTTTGTTTACCATCTCACGAGTATTGTCCATAGCATGCTGAATGTTCTCAAGAAATATAAAACCCATCAATTTAGGAATTTAAATGTCTTCTGATTCTTGTTTTGTAAAGATCTTCATCTGATAAAAGTGTTTTTCCTTGTGAAACAAAAAGGCAATGAGCAAAAATTACAAAGAAGCCATCATATATGGTGTTGTGAAAACAGGAAATGTGGGTTTCATTTGTTCCTTCTTCTGCGTGGTTCATTACAGGAGTTTGATTTCATTCGTGTAGGTGAATAGATATTATGCAATTGTTCTTTTTAGGCTCCTATAAGAGATTATCAGTGCATGTAAGACTCTCTAGGTATGTGCTTGGCACTATGTCTGCCAATAGTGAGATGCTCACAGCAAATGTACAGGACTTACTTTCAAGTATGTGTTCCAGCTGATTTTCGTTTATCATGGATGGATCAGTTTCAACATGAAAGATTGAAGCAGTCAAGTAGGTAGCTGAGCTGAACAAGAGCAGAATTCAGATCTGCTCGGAGTCATGCAGGGAGGAACAAGAATCATGGTTGCAAGCAGAGAATGTATGTCTACTATTTGCTGACTACGGGATTTACCCTAGAAGTGTAAAACCCAAGTTCAATTCTTGGCTGATTTATTTCAGACTTTTCTTCCACAATTCAAGTGAGAATGTCATTACTGGCCCTAAATCAAGGGCTAGGTATTTGCTTAACCTGACACATTTTTTAGGATATTTGGAGCTTCAGCTTGATCTATGTGACAATGCTTGTTAGGTGTGAAGCAGGAAGCATCTACCCAATTCCAAAATATGATCTCACTGGAAAAATAGGGTAGCAGCTAAGCAGTGTTTTAAAGATGGAAGTGAATGCCTAGAGAGGTTACTTGATCTCCAAGTGATTTTAAGGATCATATTCTGTTAAAAGAAAGTGCTTTGCTGTTGAGTCACTTATCTGTATTCAGAGCTCTGACACACTGAAAGCAAACAACTTGGTTCTCTCTGGCTATCCTGAGTCTATGTAACATCAAAGTGTTGATGGGTAGAAGAAGGAAAAGGAAAGAAAACTAGGATAGAGTACAAAATCCCTCACAAAGTCTATAACTTGGGAAGGTTAGCACGCTGTGTTTTAGGATTGGAGGGAGATTCCTATTAGAAATAAGTACCTAATTTCTCTGCCTTTTTTCACAGTAGAAACTCATGGAATTTCTTTAGAATTCTGCTCCTGCAATTAATAGGAAATAAAGTTAGGTCGATATTCTAGAAAGTTGGGAATTCTGGGCAAATATTGATATCAGTTAGAAGATTCTTTCTCTTATTTGTTCTTCTGAGTGTTCAAGTGAAGATGTAAAAATGAAACTTTTCTGAAATAAACAGAATATAATTTTTAAAACGGCTGGTTTGATTCCTATAATTAACTTACCAAGTAAGGTGTGTAAGCAAGAATATCAGAATCTGGTACTGACTTATTAGAAAGTGAAAATATATAGGAGGATATTAATTTCATTCTTTTCTTTAGGTCTGATATTTCTGGATTTCAATATCTGGCCATAAACTATATTTGAGATTTAATGATATACTGCAGTGGTACAAAATTAATTTTTCTTTACTAAACATACCTGTGTAGATGTCATGAATTATCTTCCAGCCTGATATCACATATTAGTATTGAAAAATTGCATTTATTTGTTTATTTATTTTGTATTTTTAGGTAGAGATTGAAAAGCTGGACTATCATTACTATCTGCCTTTATTTTTTGATGGGCTTTGTGAAATGACGTTTCCGTGTGAGTTTTTTGCTCGTCAAGGAATCCATGACATGCTGGAACATGGTGGAAACAAGATTCTTCCTGTCATTCCTCAGCTCATTATCCCAATAAAAAGTAAGTGAATATATCAGGGAAAAAAAAAAATCCCTAAAATTGCATTTATATAGTGCAGATATTTGGGAAGTTGCTAAAGAAACAATAAACATGACAAGCTGAACATTTCATGATGATTATTGCAAATGTGAAAAAATTGTAAGGTATAAGGCCAGAAGGCTTATGCCTTCAGTCACCTGGTACATGCAGTAATCCAGAAAAATAGACTAACTGGTTAGGTTTTTTTCTTATTACAATGTGGCCCTTGGTCTTCAGAAATGTGAAGAGACATTTTCTTACCTAATTTAGTATATTTATTGTGTAAATCTATTACTGTATAAACCAGTTCATCTAAAATAACAGGAGAAATCGACAAATGAAACTTCTGAAATTGTTTCTTTTTGTTCCTTTTTTTTTTTATTATTCTACAGTTGTCTTATATTTATTTACTGGGTATCTTTTCTATTATCATTTTCATTACTTTGCATATACATATATCAATCTAAACTCAGAGTTCTGCCTGACTAGTTAATATTGTATGTAAGATCTTGGCATTTAAAAAAATACTGATTTTGAAGTTTGTATGTATTCAAACAGGGTTTTATTTGTAGAAAAATTATTTGAAAGGTAATAAATTATTTTAATACAAGTGTAGTACCACTAAAACTAAAACTAGTCTTTCAGATATATTGTTTTTTCCTTTCCTGTTTCTTCAGATCATTACCTTGATGAAATATTGTTCTGAACCGTCATCCTTCTTTAGTTAGGTATTACGATTCTTAATTCTGCATGCTACACCGATGCTAATAGATGCTCATATTTGTTAAACTTGGCTTCTGTTTTATCGTTGGTCAGAAATGATATCATTGCTGTCCTTTGTCCTATTTTCCTAGGATGATTCAGCATCCATGCTAATATAGAAAAAAAAAAAAACCCCGAAGTCATTGTATTTGTGATACAGAATGAATAGAGTCAAATACAGTTTTAGAAAAAGAGAAAGGGAATGTAGTTTGGAGCCTCATAATATGGAAATAGCGGTGTTGAAAGGGTCAGAATTGTGGGTTTTTCATTCAATCTATTCTCCACTTAGAAGATAATTACAGATGTCATTATCTCTCTCTTACTGTAGATTTTGAAAATGTCAGAAGGAATATACAATGCTCAGAATGGTTACTCCATAAGTGACACTTGTGAAAACATGAAAACAATGTTAGTTTTTTCTCTCTAAAAGGGAAACATATGAAGAGTGGAATCATGTCATTTCTTTAAATCTATATTTCCACACCACCCAAATATACTTATAGTAATATAATTTTTTTTTTAAAGCTGAAATGGTTTCTTCAGAAAAGATTGCAAGTTTATGACAGCAGCTACTCAGTTAGGATTTAAAAGTCTTGCTGAGACCAGAATCTAGCTTAGAAATAATTACCTGGCAGCTTTAGCTATTACACAGCTTTTTGCATTAGAAAGAGGCTGCTAGTTAAGCATAGTTTATTTATTATGCTGGAACACATTTAAGAATCTCCTAGCTAAATTTAGTTATTGATTTTGCTTTATTTTATTGTACAGTGCTTATTTTTTTATTTTTAAAAAGGCTTCTGTGTTGGCTTTAATGTGCAAAGAGTCTAAGTATTATCAATGATAAAGGCTTCTTCCTAATTAAAGCCATATAAATATTTTTAAAAGACACTGCCATCTCAAGGAATGTGAAAGTGTGTACTTCTAAGCAAATTTTTAAATTTGCTATGACTGTGTAATATAGCAGTGTAGTCAGGGCTATACATTTATGTATCCACAATAAACTCAGCTATGTTTTACACGTATTACTGTCTCTGAAGTGTCCCATTGGGTGAGTTATATCTGATTAACCAGTCTTCTTCTAGACCACTACCATATTTCTACTGTGAAAGAGAAAACAATTGATTGTTAGGCAAGGTAATATGTATGATGAAGGGGAAAGGGATAAAAGAAAGACAGAAAAATAACTCTAAAGAGCTTTTAAAAGCTGTTTTCTCTCCTGCATGTTCATCCAAGGAAAATATTAGTAAAGAGCTGCCCTCTAAAACCATTTGAAATTAAATATTAGAATGCTGTATTATCACATTTTTTGAACACTGTGTCATTAGAGATGAAAATTATATTATTTAATGAATCTGTGAGTTATTGTAAGAACAAATCATTTCAGCAAATTTTATTCTGTTTTTGCAAACAGGCAATGACTAACAAAAGGCAGATAATTGAAATTAACAGATCCAGTTTCTTTCCTAAAATACCTAAAATAGGATTAAAATAATATGGAAAAATGCTATTTAGTTGAAAAACAATTGCTTGTTATTGTTTGTCACATTGAAAGGCACTCTTTTTTTTTTTTTTGAAATACAGAGGAAGAAAAAAATCTCAGGTAGGAGACATTGATTCCTCAAAGAGAAAAATGCTCAAAATATATTTTGATTTCTCAAAATAAAAATTCAAAATATATTGTACCTTGCAGTGGCAAAACATGATAAAGTAGTTTAAATGTATGATCATTGCATGGCATAAAAAACAGGAAAAACGAATTACCTGTATATGTTAAACTTGTAAGGAATCTAACTAAAAATAAAAAAATCAGAAAATGGAGATGCTTTAAAATGTTAAGACTTTGTACTCCCTTTCACAGCAGGTGTAGGCAAACAGATTGTCTGAGGTACTTAAACTAGAGCACAGATTCACAAATTGACATATATGGCCAATGTACTTTCTAGAGGTATTCTGAAAGTTCTGATGCACAACACACAGCAGAATATCTTCTTTGCCAGAAAGATCCGTATTGTTATTTTCATATTGCAGACAGATGAAGAGGTAGAAGGAGACTAATTTTGCCCACTTCACAAACTGCATTGGTGGCAGAGCAGAACAGAACCCAGACACGTACCCCTGGGGTGGCAAGCAAAGCTGCCTGTAGGTCGTTACGAGAGTTGCCTTATTTTTAGGGAACACAAGGATCTATCTGGCCCCACCATGTCTTTCAATAATGCATTAATGTGTCTTAAAACTCACTTGCGGTCTGCCTTTACCTACAGTCACCCAAGAATAGCCAGGAAAAGTGTGAGGGTGAGAGGTACCTATTGTATCACGTGCTTATCAGTGGAAAACTCCTGTTCTAGATTCTGTGTGGTCATTATGAGAATGTAAAATTCCTTTTAATACTCTTTTTTGGGGGCAAATTATTGCTTATAATATTGCTTTTACCATAACAAATGCCAGATCAGGAAAGCCGTAAATCTTTTCACTTGCTTTCATTAGGCTTCTGCAATTCCTGACCGCAGAGTTCCGCAGTTTCAACATGAGACACACATGGAGACATAAACACTGAGGAGGCAGGAAGTTTCTACACCTTTGCCTGATATTTCTATAAGCAACATTGGGGACATCCAACACAATGTGTGGAAGCACCTCCTCGCCTTTCAAAGGCAGCAAGCATGCTACCGTTTACATTTTCTTTGCTGACAATGTAGCTGTAGGAGTTTCCAACTCCTTCACACACAAAGTAACCAATCGTTCTAGCTCCCATGCTCCAGTTCATTGCAACTAACTTTTGCTAATGCAATTGTCTGTGGAGCAACTCAGTCAATCTCACATCTAGATGTATTAAAAAAATAATACGAAACCAAACCACCAAACCTAAAATAAAGCCAAAATATTTTCAGAGTGGTGTTAGTGTTTAACTCAGATCATTTCAGTGGTCTAGTTTATAGCTGTACTGTCTGGAAGGAATAGTAGGCGATAGCACAGAATTTGGAGTAAATGAGTAGAGGTGATCAGTAGGAACATCTTGATATAACTTTGCAAATGAAGAAAATAACGTGAAAGTAAACACTTAAGAACCTTGGATCAATCCGCTTGCCAGAATCTTTTCTGTTCCGTTCTGCGAATTCTAAAATGGACACGTTGACAATCTGAACGTAGGTCTAGAAGCCGATAAAGCTCACATCTTTGCACTGAAATTGTAACTTCGGTGGAAGTGTTGTTTCTACACAGCTGCAGACAGCAGACCAGCACTTCTGATTGAGTCCAAAAGAATGTTCTCCATCCAAAAGAACATTGAAGTTTTCCTTTTTGAGGCTTTTTCTGTGCTGTTAAAAAGCCCTTCTGTGACCTAGTAGTATATCAAGGATACCTTAAACTTTGTTCAAAATGTTTCATTAAGGAAAACAGATTTTTTTTGTGAGTCAGGTATAGAGAAATGCACAGAGCAGTCCTCCCTTAGTGTCACTTACAGAGTCCTTTTTAATGTTTAATAAATTTCTAAATTAAACTGATTTCTGTTTTCTTATTCTCCACATTCTATTTGCAAGTAAAATGTAGACTGTTGTCTTGAACAACAGTGTGGTTAATTCCCATTTAATGTCAAATCAGTGTCACTGTTGTGTTTAGGTAAGTAAAGTTGAACCTGTTGCTAGCAGTTTTTCTAAGCACATTTGTATTTCTACTCCTATATCTTCACTGTATTTAAGAGTATTTAATTTAAGAGTATTTAATTAATAATTAAATTAATTTAATATTAAGAATATTTAATTAATATAAATATTAATAGTCATTAAATACCTCCTTATTTTACAGAATGCTGGAATTTTTTTATGGAATAAATATGTTTTCTGGACTATAGTCTTTTTCTTTCTGTAAATCAGATAAGTTGATTTCTGTCATCTACAGAAAGTAAATTAAACCTTTAATGGAATTGCTGTCTTCCTCCTGACTGGCTGGTGTTTTTGAGAACTAGTTCTGGTTGTTAAGATCAGAGACTGAAAATTAACTCTAAACAAGCTAGTTTTATAGACTTAAAATGTTTTTAAAGAAAGCAAAGTTCTCTAATTCAAAAAAAAAAAAAAAAAAATTGTCTTGATTCTTAGATACCAAAGCATTTCTCCCCTGTAAGCTCCATCAACCAGTACAACTGATTGCAATTAGAAGATTTGTGTTAGATTCTTCCACTCAAAGCTGGTTATTTCATAGTTTCAAATGGTATAGAAATTAGATTC